ACTGAGGGTGGTAAGTTTGAACCTGGCCGCAGCTAAACTGCAACAACAGAAACAAAATAGCCAGGCATTGTGGAAGGCGCCTATAGTCCCAGCTACTCAGGAGACTGAGGCAAGAGAATTGCCTAAGCCCAAGAGCTGGAGGTTGCTGTGAGCTGTGACACCACAGCACTCTACGAAGGGCGACAAAGTAAGACTCTGTCTCTAAAAAAAAAAAAAAAAATTATGAAAAAAACCCCCAACAGTTGCACATTGGAACACCATCTAATTCAAAGCACAGAAGTCAAATCAACAGAAGCTTAACAAAGATAAAGAAGCGTTTGGGCTCGGCACCTGTAGCTCAGTGAGTAGGGCACCAGCCACATACACTGAGGCTGGCAGGTTCAAGCCAGCCTGGGACTGCTAAACAACACTGACAACTGCAACCAAAAACATAGCTGGGTGTTGTGGCAGGCGCCTGTAGTCCCAGATACTTGGGAGGCTGAGGCAAGAGAATCTCTTAAGCCCAAGAGTTACAGGTTGCTGTGAGCTGTGTTGCCACAGCACTCTGATGTCATGGCACTCTACCAAGGGTGACCTAGTGAGACTCTGTCTCAAAAAAAAAAAGATAAAGAAGCATTTGAAGATACTAAAGGTTGTGAACAATATTGATTAGCAAATAGGAAAAAAGGTTTATTAGGTAGGGAACATAAGTGATGAGAGGCTATGAAGTTTAAAAAATAGTTGGGAGAGGGCAATGCGTGTGGCTCAAAGAGTAAGGCGCCGGACCCATATGTCGGAGGTGGCGGGTTCAAACCCAGCCCCGGCCAAAAAAAAAAAAAAAAAAAAAAAAAAAAAAAAAAGGATATGAGTTTTGGCTCAGCACCTGTGGCTCAAGCGGCTAAGGCGCCAGCCAGGTTCGAATCCAGCCCGGACCCGCCAAACAACAATAATGGCTTCAACCAAAAAATAGCCAGGCGTTGTGGTGGGCGCCTGTGGTCCCAGCTACTCGGGAGGCGGAGGCAGGAGACTCGCTTGAGCCCAGGAGTTGGAGGTTGCTGTGATCAGTGAAGCCATAGCACTCTACCCAGGGGGACAGCTTGAGGCTCTGTCTCAAAAAAAAAAAA